CCAGATTGTTGGGGGCAATATGCTGACTCTCTGTAAACCGCTTAGAGAGGGCTGAAAGCCCTATGAAGCGGTATATAAGTCTACTGCTATTCTGGCCTTCCTTAAACCTGGCTCTGCTGGTGGGCTTGAGACCCTGATGAGGGTGCTCCATAGTAGAGGTGGCTGGAGGAGTAATAGAGAAGATTCCACCTCCATACCATTATGGTCTTGGTTTGTAGTTTTTTATTTGATTCTTGTTAATTTTAGTGTCTTTATTGATTTTACTCTACTCTACTGTTAGTTGTCCAGAGAGATGGGTGCATATAAACAATAAAGTATAATGATGAAGAATGTCGATTGAGTAAAAAATTATGAAAGGCTTCTTTGTTCCCCAAGTATTAATTCCTGCTGACATGACCACTATCAAAATTTCTCATAGTACAGGCAAATAGTAATTTGTTTTAAAAGTAAGAGCGGTAGTACACACTGTAGAAACAGAATTTCTGTCTGGAGCATGATGAATTTTAGAATGAAGGGCGGTTAATCAGTTCCCATTACCTAAACTACCAGCTGGGACTCTACAGAATAATATGGTCAAGCACATTGTACAGATTTACAAAAAAACCAACCCATTTTACAAATAAGTTTAATCGCCAGAACACAATTATACAATGCATCTTAATCCAAAGCATATAAAACAGTTTCACTGTTAGAAAAATTTGGCAGTAGTAAAAAAAAGAACACAATAAAACAATGTTATTTATACATTCTGCTCCGTGTGACATTCATTAAGAAGAGACACTAGAAAACTGATCAGTAGGAAGTTGATTTCCTTTAGTCTTATCAGAATTTTTGCCTTTTCAAGTTCCAGTACATTAACAGCCAATTCACCTGGACAAGTAGACATGCATCACTGTACTTAGTGAAGCCGCTCTAATTTCGCTTGCAGAGATTTAAAGCTCCCTGTAATGGTCTGTACAGCTAGTGTCGGACTTATAGACTGCAATTCAACAAGGTAACGGCTAACAGCATCTAAGCAGATATTTGTGAATCGCCGTCTAAAGAGAAAGAAAACAGATGGATCTTGTTATTATATTCCTTTCCATGCAATTGCTATATAGTGACTTAAAGTCTTGAAACTCATATTCATTAAAAAGTTGGTGGATGGAAGCAGAATAAAAATAAATAGACCTATTAATCCAACATTCATTCTGGGAAGCTGGGTGAAGAGGGACGCATTCAAGAGACACCAAATTTACAATCACACATTTCAGGTAGGGAAATTCCATAATGAAGGGACTACTTCTAAGGAAGCTTGCCTGAAAATAATGCCAAGTTGGCACAAATAATTGCAAGTGCAGTAATTCCTAATGATCCACCACTCATAAGAACATCACGATCCTTGAAGTTATGACTAATGCAATATCCCAGAGTCACATGATCAAAATCCAGGCACTTGAAATTGGTATGTATTTAAGATGGTTGCAGCATCCCAGTCATGTGATTGCCATTTGCAACCTTCCCAGCCAGCGTCCAATAAGAAAGTCAATAGGGGCAGCTGGATTTGCTTAATGACCTTGTGATTCACTTAACAACTGCAATAATTCACTTAACAATGGAAAAAAGGTTGTAAAATTAGGTGTACTTCACTTATTAGTTTGCTTACCAACAAATTTCAACCCTAACTGGTCATAAGTCAAGGATTACCTTGACTTGTCCTTTTTTTGCTAGCTTATTATTCTACTCTTGGCTGATGACATAAATTTTTCAGGTATAAAAATTAACTTGGTTAAAAAAAGAAACAATTTTCTGGGATAGGAAGGTGAAAGACTACTAGATATTTCTTGCCATCCTGCCACATGTCTCTTCTATAAAATGTGTTATTTCAGAAGCGATTGTTTTAAGACTAAAAAATTGATTAAAAATTAGTAAAAGTTAGTAAAAGTCATTACAGGCCTGAAAATGCTCAACATATTGTTAAAAAGCTTGACTGAAGTTTTTTTTTTCTTAATTGTGATATGTTTAAACAGGATTGTACGTATTGTCAACATCATCATTCAGCATGTGCTATATTAATAAAACTTCACCTCACTTCCAATGTATATAAACTTTAAAATACCTTTCAAAAGTAGCTACTTTGTTAGGATCTTGCACATATCCTGATAGCAGTACATGTATGCATTCCAAAAGATGTAATGGTTTCTTCATTTTGCTCCAGTAGGGATCCTATAAAAACAAAAATGTGGAAATATATACACATACACATATGTACACATACACGTGTATATGCAAAAATAAAGACTTGTTGGCTTGTACATGTGTTCACTGACCAGTCGACAGCTTAGCGACTGCTGATTCTCCATTGCTACCAAAACAGTAGACTAAACCATGACAAAGACCAGCAGCCATTATTGCTCAGAAATATACACATTTGATTATCAATCTATATAGATGCTCATCTCAAACAAGGTGACTATGGGCAGTGTACAGTAAAACCTACTATTAAAACATACTACAAAACTACTTGA